ATTTGTTTGACAAAAGTCAAGCAATTGCATGACTTGATGATAAGATAACTTATTTGCATTGCTGTAGTATTATTTCATTTATCATTCACGGAGTTGATATAAAGCTTCTATTACCCTTTACACCCAAACCCAATATAGCGGTGCAATTGATGTCACAGACATGCTCTTAAAAAAACTATGTTTGATTATTTTAGGGTCCCACACGAAGAATTTTGTATTCAAGTGTCACTCTCCTGGAACCATGAATAATAAAAAAAATAATCCATCGTCTAACCCAAGAAGGGAACGTTCGTTACTGTCACGAATGCAAAAGGTCCAACTGTGAATCTCTCGTGCTCCAAATATTATATAAGAAATGTCAAACTGTCATGGAATCACGATATAACACGACAAAAGAAAGCATTGCTTTTTCTTGTACTAAGTACTTGAACACAATGAAACATTTTGACAATTTTTCTAGGGAACATACGTTACCTAGTATTAGCAATGACGCAAAGCCCCTTGAGTTACAGTTTAAAATATTTAGAAAAACATCCTTACGTCATGTCTAATTTACCATGACTGAACCACTACAAAATATATTGGAACGCGGTATAAAAATTAAAATTAAATTGCCCGGAACATACGTTACCGTACGTTTTTGGAACATACGTTACCATTTAGGGCTCTTTGCGTAATGTAAAAGACATGGTAAAAATTAAAATTTGAATTTAATTTGAGACAGTGAAGGATTTTTGTTCCACACGCATATATGTTTAAAAAAAAATTGAATACAACTTTGAATTCATTCAATTTTATTTTTTGACACTTCAGCATGTGAAACGCACCTCTATATTGGGTTTGGGTGTTTAACATCCTTCTCGCATAAAGAGTCCACTCTCTGTTTTCTACCATTCATACTGGTTCTCTACCATACTCGGTTGAACACTTTGCGGTCTTTTTTTCAGATAAACGGCCAAACCAGCCACGACACCAATGACAACTGCACACGCACGGCCGGCTATTATAGCAACCATCATAACGTCCACCCCGTTGGATTGGCCTGATGAGTTTTCTTTAGATGCGCTTTCTTGGACTGCGGCGATTGGTGTCGTACCGATCCCTTTCTTGTCAGGCAATGTAGGTGGGGCTTTAGAAGATGGGGCAGCTGAAGGGTCGAGAGAGACTGTCACAGATGATGAAGTGTGGCCTTCTGTGGTTCCAACTTTGGTCGAAACTGGTGTTGGATTTTCCCAGGAACTCACAGTTGTATCGCTGGCATCTGAGGGATTGGTCTTTGTTCCTCTTGTTAAATCAGTGTTATCCTGTGAAGAAACTGACGTTATTTTGTGTCCGGAACTCACAGTTGTATCGCTGGCATATGAGGGATTGGTCTTTGTTCCTCTTGTTAAATCAGTGTTATCCTGTGAAGGAACTGACGTTATTTTGTGTCCGGAACTCACTGTTGTATCGCTTCCCGATGTTGTTGTTTGAATGGTTGTTGGCTTTGGACATTTAGATTGGTAGTGGTTGTACCAGTCTGTAGTCTCTGGTGCCGAGGTGCTGCTTGCAATGTTATCTGAAAGGGAAAAATAAATATTCGAAATAAATAAACGCCTTAAATTCATCAACCCAAGCTGGGTGATTCAGAATATCGACATCGCAGTTTCTCCGCTTTGAAGAAGGCTTTGAGCTCCGATCATTTTGTCTGAATCTAAATCTGATATTTTGGTTTGGAAAAGGGGGGAGTTGCCATTCCTCCTTCATACATCAATACAGTGTACATAGCGCTAATCACAAGAAAGTCCCATCAATTGCCAAGCTGCTTAATGTATTTCTGGAAATATATTATCGTTTCAATCCTAAAAGCAAAACAAATATTATCTCTAAATCAATGCATACTGCAATAAAATGACATGAGCTTGATAAGGTTCCTTTTGGAATCAGCGGTTTGGCATTAAAGATATGACGAAATAAAACATGACACACATTGGATAATGGTGCTCACGTAAAAGGAGTAATTTACTGATGTTTATGAGAGTTATCGGGTAATAGTCCCCGTTGGTATATTTCAAGAGAATTTCAAAGCCGATGGTCATTCTTGATCGGCATTGTCAAACTCGGGTGTTGATGTCTTTGATATCAATAGTAATAAGAAGAAAAAGTAGAAGAAGAAGAAGAAGAAGAAGAATTTACCTGAACAAAGAGCCTTGGAAAAGTTGCTGGTAAAATGGACAAGGTCATCAAATGAGTTTAAGACGAAAGTATGTTTTTCTGCAGGGGCTGTGGCCATCGCTTGTAGTTCCAGAATATCTACCCCTGCCCCCAAGCCGATAATATACAACTCGGTACTCATATTCTTGAGGCTGGCCGCCTCACTCACAACGCTACACAAATCAGGTGGCTTCTGCGTGGTTATGAGGACACCAATTTTCCTTACAATTGTGTCGTTCGCCAGATCCACTGATTTATTTGGATAAAGAACAACTGATTTCAAGTAAAAGAGGGCCCAGTATGTGTTAGTATTTTGTGAAAATTGACGAAGGGTAATGTTGTTTATGCGGACGTCTAATGAATTGCTTGTAAGTCGGTCGTTTAGACTGATAATTTTCTCTGGCTCATTAAAAGGTGGAAGAGAAAACACTGCTGTTCGTACGTTTTCCGGACCCAACACAAATGCGGTATTTATAATAGTCTTGATAAATTGCTGAATTCTTGCAGCCTCATTTGACCAACCAACCGCGTCTAACATAAAGCCAACGTCTGCATGGTCTGTCACTGAAACAAAAATATTGTATTTTAAGCTTGTTAAAATAACATTCATAAAAATCCAGCAAAGAAAAATTATAATCACATGTCAGTCAGATCAAAAGTAGACTTCTTGATATTAGATCATATATCTATGCGTATACTTTTCCAATGCTCTTCGACAATTCTTTCCTTATTAAGGAGTTTACTAATGCATTTTTCTTTGTACATATAAATAAAAAAAACTCTACGTACTGCAAATTTCGTTTTCTCCTTGACTTAAACCCAAAGGGATGACCAGCAAAATCAAATACGCGTAAATTGTATTGCCCATCCTCTACCTTCGATTTACACTGGTGGATTTACTTCAAGTGAGTTGATGTTATACAAGTGTGAGAATGTGAGCACAGGCTGACAGCGGGATGTTATTAAGTGTTTATGTAGGCTCAGGAGTCCCCTTTGTTATCTAACTGAATAGGTCTGCTCACATCTGACATCAGCCATTGGCTCATTTTGTTTTGGGCAGGGGCGTTTACAATTTTTGTTCTTGGTATTTGCCATACCCATGCATAACAAAAGGGAATGTTTCTGAAACTAGAAGATTATGTGAAATTATCAAACTTATACTTTTATACTTAGTATCAGACCACTTAGTCGAGAGATGAACTGAGGTGTTTAAATCCCTATCACAATAATAAACTAGTGTTCGTAATTGGTCCCTATGCCATTTTCTACACGCAACCAAAAAGTTCGGAAACATCCTTATTTTCAATAATTATAAAATAACTACATGAGCTCAGGTGAATGTTTCAACCAAACAATGGTGGATAGTGCCCGCACCATTCTTTGCTTTTTATTTTACTGGAGATTGCCCCGCTGCCTCACACAGCTTTAATTATTGAAAAACAAATTCCTTTTTCGAACTTTTTTGGTCGAGTGTTTAATGGCACTTGACAATAATGATATATACCATATAATATTGCAGTTATTGAAATAGATTGGACAATGAAAAATGAATTTTCCAGCGTCCCAGGTTTGCTTTTGGATAAGCCAGTCATTGTGTGTGTCAGAAAGTGCAATAAAGTGATGTAATCGGCGGAACTTATTAGAAGATAAGAAAGTGATACTTGCTATCTACCTTTATTAAAGACTTACGCATTAAGTCTTTATCCATCATAAGATACGCATATAGGGTTCACATGCTCTTATGGGTTATTGAAAGAAACTAACAATGCTCACAGTTTAATTCCATTGATTCAAAATTGAGATTCGTCAGTGGTGCCACAGATTCCTCAAAATGAATTAACGATTCAGACAGATCTATGTTTAGATCAAATTGTTTGTTCTGCAGGTTACTTTTGTTAATTCTCTATAGTTGAAATATTTAAAAGCTTTCATTTTTTATCCTCCGACCATGAATGAATATTTATAAAACTTATTTTTTGTGTTTGTGCCAAATTTTACCAAAGAAAATGATGAACTTAGTCAGGCGGCTTAGTCCATTTTTTTTTCAGAATTGTGCAAAAGTTGAGAAAAGCATGCAACTTTCCATGATGAATGACCATTGGCTCTTTGTCAATTTTGGATGGGGGGGGGGGGGATGCAACTCTGAAATATTATTTTTTCCCGAATGAGCGGCTTTATTAGAATATGGTGACTCAACTTTTTTATTCGCGCGGATATCTCACCAAACAAGAGCTACTTTCGTTAATTATTATGGCATGAACAAATTTGATAAATTTCACTTAGTGTGCACATCTAAAATGTGGTTTAGACGCTCAATAGTCGCCAAAGCAATTACACCGAGTCTCATGCGTCCCTTGTGCCTCCTTTGAACGGCCGGACCTAGATTCCACCTGTAAAATTGAGAGATACATGTGCGTCCACTGAGAGACCTGCCTAGAAAATCAAATGTTTGAAAAGTGCGTTTATTGTTCAGTTAATATGAAAATCACAATACCCGGTCACACAGGCAGCATTTTTAATTTTTAGTAAGGCCTGATTTTCATAGACGAACAGACAAATACTGCAATAAAGAATGGCCTTAGAGTTAATTCACAACAGAAGTCCAAGTCACCAAAAGCCCCATTTTTTTATTCCCCGCTCTCGTGTATTCTCTAGAGATCTCAACCAGCACAGCTACATGTATTAATTGTGACTGGTGTGCATCTGACCGCAACAAAAGCAATGGAAACACTGCAGTAATTAACTTAATTTATCCTCCTTCATTTATACATTTTCCAAAATAACATATGTTTCACTATTTTGGCCTTGTTATTCTTACCTCAAATTATGACTAATTTAACACTGTAGTTTCTGTACATTAGGTATTGTATTTTTATCTAGTTTTTCTTGTTGGTCAGTGCCCCTTTATACATAACTTCCTTTACTACGACTATTTGATCCCTTTATTGTTTGATAACACTGTTCCACTATACCACAAAGCAATTCGTGGTTATATACCAAAATCAAAAACTCCATTTAAACCCAAAATACCACAATGGAACCAAATAACTCCCGGTAACAGCTCCGCCAAAAACATATGTCTGGATTAACTCACTGCTGACTTATATTAAAACAATTTAGGAATATATTGTGATAACCACCAAAGATATTATACTTTTCAGTATATGTTAAATCTCGAAAAGATGGCGTCCAATGCTTTTTGCCACTTCTTTGGAACTCAATTTGAACGAGCAATTTTTGGTATGGTTTTCATCCAAAATTTGACCCGTTTTGGAATGACACTCCTCTTTCCAACTATGACGTCACCAAATTCGAGGTAGTGCTCTTTATTCACAGTGTATTCCTCCCATATTGCTGGCACAGGCTCTGGGGTGTTTGGGTTTCTGAAACAAAGCAGAAGTTACAATATGAACAGTTTAAAATTATCGTGAGCGATCACCTGCCACCATTGAGTGACATTGTTAAAGGAATTACGTCAGAGTAGCTTGAAGTTAAATGAGCCTCTATAACATACTTAAGTCATAAGACAGCACCCAAAATGATGTAATGAAACTGCGCTTGGTGACAATGGTAAACAAGTGTTTAATGGATGTTATTTGTTTCATTTCCATGATCAAATATGCATTTTGTTCCTCAACACTGTATCTGGTTTCAGTGATGTCTGTTACATCAAAGTAATGATCTTTAGCAAAAAAAATGTTTTTAGTTATATGAAAAGTTCGTTCGGCTATGAAATCAAAACGTGTAGTACATGTGTGTCTTCTTACGAGTGAATTGTGAATTTGGATAGTTTTTGTAAGTTAATTAAAACAATTCTAATATTTGAAAGAAATATAAATAATTAACCCAACTGCATTTTAACAGAAGGCCGCCGAAACTGAATTAAGAAAAACTGCTACATCGTAATAAAACTCACCCTGTCTTGGCGAAGTTGGACCAATATCTTACAAGCATTCTAGTCAGTTGTTTCTCATCGTCCGTGAAAGTGGCACCGGAGACGATAGGTTCGTGTGAACCAATCATAAAAAGAAGTTCGTCTCCGTGACTTGCACGCTGAAACCAAGATGGTAAACCAGTCCCGATATGTCCATATAGCGGCTTTCTCGTGAAGTAGTAAAGATATGTCGACCCACCTCCTTCAAAGAGATGAGACGACATGAATTCAAACATCGGTTGAGTGAATGCAATGTCAGTGCCAAGGTCGACGTAATCACGAGCAGTTTCTATTTTGGTGGAGGTTTTGTCATAGTAGAATTTTGTTATGGCGTTGACAATTTCTGTATTGTTTTCAAAGACATACCTTGTCGTATCGGGAATCAGTGTGTCACGGAAGAAAAAGGGATCAACTCCGTCGAAGTACTTATTCATAACAAGATTGCTTCCGTCTCCAGCAAGAATCCCAGTAACAAAGTCAAGGGAACGAAGGCGCTGCAATACAACGGGATCACTTAACAACTCTGATATTGGTTTCGTTAGCAATATACCGTCGACTGAGGGTCTGTAGAAATAACCAGCAAGCCCTACGGTGGCTTTAACACTGGCATTCCTGAGTGTCTCGGCGTCTATGGTGCGTAGACAGTCTACAAGTGCCGTGGTGTTTGTCGTTGGACAGCCAAGAATGTTTCCAGTTCTCACAGCGAGTTCTGGACCATTGTGTGACATTGCCCAAAAAGCGCTGGTAGTACCACTCTGACTTATCAAGCGTTGGAATAGGCCCGAAGAAGCGTTTGCCAGCGCCATCTGTGTTGCACTACTGCCACCTGCAGATTCGCCAAAAATCGTCACCCTGTAAAACACCAATAACAATATAACAGTAAAGGAACGCACAAGCTTGGGTCCTCACAATGATATGATTTAATAAATAACACATGGACAGGTGGACTCTTAAATACAGTGTATGTGTGTTTGTGGTCGTGCACCTTCCAGGGTCCCCGCCAAAGTTCTGGATGTTCTTCTTGATCCATTTCAGCGCCTCAATTTGGTCCCACAGTCCTATATTACCAAGAACGCTGTCGTCACCAGTGCTGAGAAACCCAAACACATTCAGCCGGTAGTTCATAGACACGACGATGACGTCACCTGTTACAGCTAAAAATAGATGTGCTATTTCTAAATACACGTATATATTTTATATGCTTGTAAGTTGAAAATGTGAGTACATCGAAATAGCAGCAGCATGAATAGGTCAGGCTTTTCTTGTACATTAGAGATTTCAATTAAATTACAGTGTTACAAAAATAAATAATATATAAGAAAAGTGTGCAGTTGGTAGTTGGATCATAAGATCAGTAACAATATAAGCACTATCAATTTAGACCTTGGTTATATCTTTTAAAGGCTGGGTGTGTTTACTTTTTTTTATATATGAACAATTCTATTGCACTCACCAAATTCTTTGAAACTGTAGATAGAAGTTCCACCAAATTCATATGCCCCACCGTGTATCCAGACCATTACCGCCTTATTGTTGGAACTGTTTGTGGAGCCAGGAACAAAAACGTTGAGTGTCAGGCAGTCTTCTGAAATCTGGATGATAAAGTCTGGAGAATATAGCTGTAGTGTGAAAATTCGCTGGCACATTTTATTATTATACACCTTTGGTCAAATTATTATTATACTCTTTGGTCAAAAGGTTGTTCCATCTCTAGTTCCACGTGTTTTTCGTTTTACAAAAAATCACATCATAGCCAAAAACAATTTAAAATACTGCTTTTTACCAAGAAACCATATTCAACATAATTCATATAATTCAGAAATATACAGAATATCGGTGACGATCCATATTTTATATCATTAATTAAATTTTCCCCATGATTCCACAGAGGATTAAGAGGTTAATTTGCATTTGCTAACAGCTCTCGTCTGGCAAGTGATTTGGTTCAGAAAAACAATGTTTTGAGTATAGGGTAACCATATTTGAACCCTGATATTTACCCTATTGAGCACCTGTGGCATGAATTGCAGTGTTCAATGCAGAGGAGAACCAATTTCCAAATAATCTGGACCAACTTCTTTTTTTTTTCAAGAATAGGACAATTTCCCACAAAACAGAATTGAGATAATTGCAGTACGCGGTAGACACACACGCTATTTGACACGTGGCCTTTAACAAAGACATCCTAATGTTAATTTTGTGTAATTTTGGTGATATTTGGCGGTGTCTTTTTAATTCAACAGGCAATTCTTTGCCTCTGTGGAAATCACAGTGAAACACTGGATTTGAGGGTGTGCATACTCTTAATTTGAATTAATGTTATAAAATATAGATATTTTCGCCGCTATTTTGTATTTTCTGAACACTTAATCATGTAAGTTATGGTATCTGGAATGAAAAGCATTGTTTAGAACAGTGTACACCAATGACGTGATCATTTGCAAATAAAAGCACATGGAACTGGGGTGGGACAACCTTTTTGACCAATGTTGTATATAACCTATATACTTATATTATAAGTACTTATATCAATTAATTGAGTAAGATTTGATTTAGCCCTTTTTATTTTTATTCATATCTCTATCGTTGTGATTGAATTACTTTTATTAAAATCGCTAATTATGAGCTCATGTTTGAAAGTATGCTTACAAAGACTTATTCCCACCTTTTAACTACTGGGTACAAAGATTCTTTTAAGATACAACATACATCTCCGCCTCATGGTCAATTATGTAGCATAATGTGTCCGCTACATCATTTTTTTGCAACATTTACTACATAAAGGGGAAATTGAGTATACTTTCATGAAGCTTTTGACTAAGTTAAACCAGTGCCTCTGTAATCCATTCAATATGCTTTATAATCACATGCTTTATAATCACATGCTTTATAATCACAAGAGCAAGTAAAATGTAGTGTTTATTACCGTCTCCGGGTTGGGATAAGGTACTGCCACGATTTGCATGCAGGCAGGTCCAAACGCCGTGGCATCTTTAACACCTTCCCAGTTCTCTGCAGGCTCTGGTAACCTAAACCTGAGATCTCCCACGGGAGGCTTGGCGAATGGTATACCTAAGAATACATCCACTCTGCTCCCTTGCACAGTTTCTGTCGCTCCCTGTAACGCTCCGTTGTCAATGTACACAATGGTCTGGGATTTCACTCCCTCCAGAAGTACAAGAGAGGCACAGATGACAACCATGATCCAACACTCCATTCTACATATAAACCAAATTGATAACACCGCTCAAATCTTTATGTAACGTTCAAAGTAGCAATGTATGGCATTTATCTACGTATAAAAAGATTTAACTCAACGATGAGTGTGGTTTCATTGAGTTATATACGTGGTAACCGCATTCGTGACTATGGTATGCATATATTCATAACGTAAGTTTTAAGAGCCTTATTGAATGGCAATGTATCTTTTTAATCTACGTGAAGATAACTCAACGACTTGTGCCGTTCACTAGTGATGTGGTAACTGCGCACGTGACTATCAGGCCTACCCAACTACCAGACTCGGCACCGAATGATCCTGAATTCACCGGTAGATCAGACCACACTAACCGTTTTCAAGGTGTGTGTCAGATCACATTACACAGTATCAGACGCGACACCGCTCTTGCCTAGTACGCGATGTGATAGTGACGATTCTCAGCGGGGTCGAAAAGCATTGCATCACCACTCAAAATTTGTTCAGGGTATGATACTGTGTAATGCGATCTGACACATCAATGTGCAGTCTTTTATATTATCTTTACCGGAGACCATTGCGGGATTAGCAGTATTGTTTCATGTAGGATCCGCCATATTTGATCCGCAGATCCAATCTCACGTATCCACTGAAGATCTCAACCACTACAAGTATTGACCCATTAGAGCCTGCGTCATCAAAACAAACGGCAGCCATGCTGGAGGGAGACCGGAATCGTCTGCTGCGCGTGATCATGTCTGCAATTTAGTATGATTTAATGTTCTGTATTTTCTTTGATATTTAACCGAATAAAATGATAAATTACTGCAGGATATATGATAGAGAGAAGATAACTAACTTCACAAGCGTTTACAGACTGCCTGAAGTGGTAACAATCCAAGGTGAAGGGACTAAAACCGTAAACGGAGAAGAGACTGAAGTGGCTTTGAATCAAGACTCATTTGACAAGTAAAGGATAAAACTAATTTATTTTACAGCAAAGAATGAAGACCCAGCTGTGCAGCCTTTACCATAAAAGAAAAAAAGTAGAAAACCAAAGACCGAGGTGTATAAGATATGAGCGCACGTACACTGCATATTAGTAGTGCCCAAAAAGTCTTGGTGGAGAGTGTGTTGTAAAAACGTGTGGAAATACCCAGGCAGGGTTTCGACTTTCATTATGAAGACTCACTTATTGCCTTGGGTGTAATTTGTTATCAGTTATGGTGCTCTTTGGATTTTATCTGCTGTCATCTACCTCTTTAATACCTGGTTAGCATTATTGTCAGTTAGTGTCAAGGCCACAGTACAATGTACACAGCTCAGCTGGGCCAATTAAATCAATTACCTGTGTCATGTGTATTTGGAAGTTAGTGGCTTGATTTTAGATTTAATGTAGTGTTAAGAGTAAATCTGTTTTGTAAGTATATATTCTAGCTCAGGTACCATTTAATTGAATGAACTCAATGAAATGAATTTGAAAAATGTTAAATTCTGTATTTTCCTACTGTATTATGATGCAAGTTACAATATGAATAAAACTAACTATTGTTACCTTTTTTTGTTAATTTACATTTAGGAAATTGATCTGACATTTTCCCACCAAGCCACACTGAATGATTGGGTGCAAATAAATCTTGGTTATATAAAAAAAAAAGGTGACAGGTACAAAAGGCAGCTAGATGGCACACAAGCTAGAAGCAGCGAAAAAATATTCTTATATCTTTGTGACCAGCTGAGGAGACAGAATCTGAACATCAGGAGAGTGAAACTCAGTGCATGACAGGAGTTATTTAATTGGTTTTGTTTATTTATTTAATTGTTCATTTGTTGTTTTAAAGTTGTTATCCTGATAGCTTGCATACAACAAGGACAGGTATTCTATTTATTTAGAATTGTGAGCAGAAGCACAAGAAGAAATGAAAACACTTTTTCTTTCTCATATTTTTAAAGGCTAAATGGAAAAGTTTGCAAGAAATATAAAATTTTGTATGGTGCACCTCCCACAGATGGCCTGATATGCAGAAACAGATGGCTGTTGTACATGTAGGTTGTGCATTTTTAAATTGTGACCACCAGTTGTGGAATTCTCCTAAATAAAATTACAAACTGCTTAGTAACACCATCTAAGACCTTATATGTGCATACCCACACAGCACATATCAATTGTGAGTCTTCAATCAAGCATTTCTCTAGACATAGATTAAAAATATACTAAACAGGTTCCTCAAATTATGGTGGCTTGATTCGACTTGATATGCTCATGTACATGTTGCATTGCATCATTAAAAGTATGGAAATATTTTTCATGTCAGTGTTATCAACCAAAAGGAAAGAGACCCTGATAATCTGTCATTGAATTGTGCAACAATGTTTTGCATTTTATGTGTACTTTTATTCATACAAAATGTGCATTTTCCTATATTTTCAATCAAATTAAGATCAATTCATGAACTGACTTGTTGTTATGTTACATTGTATATCATAAGTTTGAAAAATACATTGCTTCTGTGAAGGTCTGGACTAATAATAAAATGCTAACAATGTTGCTAATGTGAATGGTTGAATTCATGGTAAAATATTGAACTCTCAAACAACAGTCATGTTACAAATACTTCCTAATGAACCAAAATGAAGCACAAGAATGCTGAAATAATTTCTGACAGCTTCCTGATGTACAGTTAAATCATATCTGACAGCAATATTTCTTGTCACAACCCTGCATACTGTCTTCTTTGAGTCCGTAAGGGTTGATCCCGATGGTCAGCTAAAATTTCTCCTTATATCTATCCTTTATGAAAAAAGTTGCTTCTATGAAAGGTTGAACTTATGATTACACAGTAAACTCTCTAAAACTATAACTGTTATTACCCAATGAACAAGAAAAATGAAGTACAAGATAACTGAACTAGCTTCTGACAATTCCATGATGTTGGGATACAGGGCTAGGTCAGGATTTCACGTCTTTGGACTGTCTTGAGTTTATATGGGTCAATCACGCTGATTAGCTGAAGTTTTCACATGTATATACACTTTTCCTTTTGGTGTACTTGATCGCGATATGAAGATTATTTCATTTTATTTGGTTCACCTATATTTCTTTCCCTCCAGTATGGCCGCTGGACTAGTGTTACGGAGCAAATATGACGTCACTGTAATGGGTTAATTGTGGCTAGTGTACATCTGAACGCAAACAATAGCAATGAATACACCGTAGTGCTTAACTTAATTGACCGGGAAAAGGTGCGATTCTCAAAGACGAACACTGCAGCGTTTAACAGGAAATAGTAAGTTGCTGCAATTCGGAAATGTTGCACATCGTAAATGCTCCCATTCAAGTATGTTGTTTACACTTTAACCTATATTTCCTGCTGACTGTTTAGTATTATCACTTTTGTCGGATAAAATCAATTCTTATTTGCGTAGACACTAGACATTGTTTTCCAGTACGGTTTCGGCTATGCCTTGATCGTGGACGAGTTCTTCCAGGTTTATCGAGTATTGGACATAATTGATATCTATGGGGAGATACCCAAGACAATGACATATTATGTTGTGTCAGCTGGACTTTGCTGGAAGGACGCCGTGAGCAACCCATTTAAAACACCTCCTTTTCCAGTACGGTTTCGGCTATGTCTGGATCGTGGATGAGTTAGGAGATGCTACTGAGTTTATGAACCAATTCACGACACGATATAAACTCATCGTCAAAATTCTTATCGTATAAACTGCACAAAACTGTTTAAAATATCATTAAAAATAACAATGTCAGCATTCGTCTCTCGCTGTGAAATGCATTTCTGTTGTTATTAACAATGACGAATTTGAGGTGACAACCTTGTTTTCTTCGTCGTTATTTATTAATTTCATCAGACAAGTATCATTTTGTGCATATTATTCGATACTTTCTTTTATAAATTTATCCTTAGTTTTTTTTCTTTTATCTTTTTTTTTTTTTTTACTTTTTGTATGATATATAGCTCTTATTTTGTTTCCTTCATTGCTACATTACCCTAAATTACATGAATTTTATTATTTTGCTCTCATTTTATATTATCCTTACCTCGGTGTTATGGTTATAATGTCACACTGTGGTTTCTGTACATTAGGTATTGCATTATTTTATTTAGTTTTGCTTGTTGTTCTGTGTCCCTTTATACATTGCAACCGTTACTATGATTATTTGATCTTTTTTCTTTTTTGATAATGTTCCACAAAACCACAGAAAAATTCCTGGTTGTATAATGTAAAATCAAAAATTCAATTGTAACCCAAAATTGAATAACTGGAACTTAATTACTCCCAATAATAGCTCCATCATATACAAATGCCTTTGAATTAGTCACTGCTAACAATTTAGGTATATACTGTGATAACCACCAAAGAAATTATACTATTCAACATATGCTAAATCTCAAAAAATGCCATCCAAAGTTTTCCCACTGCTTTGAAATTCAATTTGAACGAGCATGGATTCTTGGTATGGTTTTCATCCAAAACTTGACCCGTTTTGGAAGGATTTTATTCTTCCCCACTATGACGTCACCAAATTCGAGGTAGTGCTCTTTATTCATAGTGTATTCCTCCCATATTGCTGGGACAGGTTCTGGCATGTTTGGATTTCTGAAACAAACCATAAGTTACAATATGAACCGCTTAAAAATTATCGGAAGATATTATCCGCTACCAGTAAGTGTAATTCGTAGAGAATGACGTCAGAGTAATTTGAAATCAAATAAGTCTCTATTATATAATTTATTCAAATGACAATACCTTAAAGAAGCTAATAATACTGCACTTGGCCACAGTAGAAAAAAGACGCTAAATGCATGTAAGTTGACGATAACACATGGTCAAATATACATTTGGTACCTAAATATTGAATTTGGTTTCAATTGCACCTGTTATATCAAATTACTTATCTTTGGCGTTGAAAAAAATCGAGGGAGCTTCCCGCACGTTTTAGTTAAAGCTTTTTGATAAGTTTACATCATCATATACCTAAAACACCAACTTTCATACCATTTATATGCACGAAATCAAAACAAATAGTATCTGCTTTATAGTTAATTGTGGATTTCGATCTTTTTTGTTTGTGGATTACAATATTTGAATGATATATACTGAGTTGGCTCAATTTCTTAAAACAGTAATAATATAGTAACTGAACGATGTAAGTAAAGTGCTTCGTCGCCATATAACTGTGTTTTATAGTTTTACTTACCCAGTCATAGCAAAGTTGGACCAATATCGTATCATCATCTCACTCAGATACTTCTCGTCGTCAGTGAAAGTCGCACCGGAGACGAAAGGTTCATGTGAACCAATCATAAATGGAAGTTCGTCTCCGTGACTTGCTCGCTGAAACCAAGATGGTAAACCAGACAAAACATGCCCATACAGCGGCTTTCTCGTGAAGTAGTAAAGATATGTCGACCCACCTCCTTCAGAGAGATGAGGCAGTAGGAATTCGTACATCGGATGAGTAGAGGATATGTCCGTGTTGAAGTCGACAAAATAACGCCCAGTTTCTATTTTGGTGGCGGTTTTGTCATAGTAAAATTTTGTGATCGCGTTGATTATTTCCGTGTTGTTGCCAACCACCAACTTAGTCCAATAAGGTATCAGCGTGTCACGAAAAAAAAAGGGGGTCAATCCCGTCGGAGAACTTATTTTGAACCAACATTGCTCCGTCTCCATTAAGAATTCCAGTTACGAAGTTGAGAGAGCGTAGACACTGCAATACAACGGGATCACTTAACATTTCTGATATTGGTTTAGTAAGCAAGATTCCGTCAATTGAGGGTCTGTAAAAATCTCCAGTAAGCCCTACGGTGGCACTCACACTGGTATTCACAAGGGCCTCGGCGTCTATGGTGCGTAGACAGTCTACCAGGGCCACGGTGTTTGCCGATGGACAGCTAAGAATGCTTCCTATTCTCACAGCGAGTTCTGGGCCATTTTGTGACACTGCCCAAGCAGCGCTGGTGGTACCACTTTGACTTATCAAGCGGTGGAAGAGGCCTGAAGAAGCGTTTGCCAGGGCCAGCTGTGTTGCACTACTACACCTGCAGATTCGCCAAAAATCGTCACCCTGTAAAACACCGATGACAATATAACAGTAAAGGAGCGCACAAGCTTGGGTCATCACAATGATATGATCTAATAAATAAAGTATTGACAGATGGACTCTTATGTGTGTGTGTGTGTGTGTGTGTGCGTGTGTGTGTGTGGGTGGGTGCATAATCGTTCACCTTCCAGGGTCCCCTCCAAAGTACTGGATGTTCTTCTTGATCCATTTCAGCGCCTCAATTTGGTCCCACAGTCCTATATTACCTGGTACGCTGTCGTCACCAGTGCTGAGAAACCCAAACGCATTCAGGCGGTAGTTCATAGATACGACGATGACGTCACCAGTTAGAACTAAAAGCATATGCAAAAATAGTACTCTGGCCTCATTCATGTTAGGCCATTAAAAATTAAATGAAGCGAAATACTGGTATTAACATTTTTAAGGCTTTAAACAAGGCAAATTTCCTTTGGGTGCTTAAATTTGTGTCAGAATAAGATATTTATTTTTCATTCCATGTGATAACTTCCGTAGTTCCCATAAGTTAGTACAGAAAGGGGAAATGATGCGTTTGAAAGATATAAGAGTCATTTTGGGATAATTCATCATAATGATGTTTCATTTTATATGCCTGAGTGTAAGAACAAAAATGATTGTATCTAACTTAGTTTATGGTTTATTGCATCAGATATGCTAAGCAAGCACATCTATCACATTTCTTTAATAAAAGGACCTCATTAGCATAAGTGAACAGTCCTAGTTGTCACACACAGGAGAGTGTGGGTCAGTTAGGTGTGTGCTGCAGAGGAGTGCAGAGGTGCAGAAATGCAGTGGCATTATTGTATTTACCCAGTAGAGGCATAATGGTAAGATGTTTATGTCAATTTTGTACATAATGTATATTACCAGTATTTCTTTCTTTATATTATATAGTTTTATTAATTAATAACCTGGTTGCTAATTGTATTTTAAATAGTAATTTGTATTATAAACTCAGATGTTATGTGAGAAGTGGTGATACCAGCTAGACAAATAAGTGACAGTTGTATTTTCTTTGTTTTAGTTACACGGCTGTTTCAACCTGAGACAATTTAAATAAAGCTCAAGTTAAAAGGTTTGCTTCATGCCGTCAGAATGGCCTGAACGGAACATATTCTTCAGAAAACATGCCNAATTTGGCGCATTTATCCTTTATATGCCTTAAGTCCTTTTACTCACCGAATTCTTTGAAACTGTATACGGATGTTCCACCTATGTTGTAACCCCCAGCATATATCCAGACCATTACCGCCTTATTGTTGGAGCTGTTTGTGGATCCAGGAACAAAAACGTTGAGTGTCAGGCAGTCTTCCGAAATCTACAAGATAATGAGCCATAGTATTACATCAATTTGATGAATTTCGAAGTTACATCAGGTAGATAATATACATGAATCGATGCTTCTATAACATAAATGGATCAATTCGTATGTGCTTAAGTGTTCAGAATCAATTTAATACCATATGCGTGAATGTAAATACCGAATAACTTATTGAATGCACCTGTAGTTAAAATAACTAATGATTTTTCTCAGAACCTAAAATATTATTGTCATAAAATATAGGATTGCTTTATACCTTGTATTTTGAACAACAGGCCCTGAGGATAAGGATAATGGTTAGTTATGGGGCACATTCCCGTTTTTATAAAAATAAAACTAGATGTGCAGTGCTTAGTTATGTCGGACAAACCCGTTTTAATTAAAGGAACTAATTTTAATAAAACAAAAATATAAAAATAGTATTATTTTTGGTTTGTGTGACTTTTAATAGTGTGAGCTGGATGTTTTATTTGCAAATGTAGAAGGTTAAGTTCTTGAATAGCAAATAACGTTGTGGGATTATGGTGCATATGATGGAACCTTTGCATCTTTTACTTCCATTTTTAACAGATATTTGCCGAGCTGAAATTTGAAATGATGGAAATACATCTAGCTGTGAAAAATAATTGTTTGAGTTCAATACCGAAGTACAGTTGGGATTGCTAGTAAAAATAGTGAAGCCTTCATACGAATATACCTACACTATCAGCATGATTTGGGCTCAAATAGAGTAATGGTATTAACAGGTGATGTAATTTTTTTTTTTAATATATATTTTTTTATTTTATTTATTTATTTATTTATTTATTTTTTTTTTTTTTTGCTTTCATATGCAGGCATCTCAAGGATATCGTTACATTTCAGATACCTTCATATATTCGATATATATATAGAACACTATAATGGCACAGCATCCCCTATTGCTACCTGTTTTATGTATTCGATAGATGTTACTTGGAAAGAAAAAAGTTTTTTTCAAACCCATCATGATCATATATCATCATCATCATCCAGTGCCCTGCTGTTCAGCGTTGGTGATCATGTCTCCGCACATCTCAGTCCCGAGTGGCCCTCAGCAAGTCAACCGTCGTCTCCAGTCCCATCCAGGATACCAGACCGTCTCTGATTTTTTCTCGTTGTCTTCCGCGGCTTCTTTTCCCATTGATGTTGGTCTGTAGTGGTCAGATGCTCAAGACCCCCATTCCTCATAAGGTGGCCGAAATATTTTGCTTGTCGTTTTCGAATTTTGTTAAAGAGCGATCTTTTGGCGTCTGCTTCTTTCAACACATTTGTATTTGTTTTTCTATCGGTCCAAGGTATGCGTATCATTCGTCTGTATAACCACATTTCGATTTTCCTTTTCATTTGCTTATTTAGTGTCCAAGCTTTGCATCCATACATAAGAATAGGTTCGATGTAACATTGTAAAACTTTCTTTTTTGTGATAAGTGATAGATGTTTGTTCGTTAAAACTGATTTCGTTTTTTGAAAAGCTGCCTTTGCTTGAGCAATCCTTTCAATTTTATTTCCGTGTTGCTGCGCCCATCGGCTGCATTGCATTCATATATAAGATTGTTTTATTTTTGTTACCATCCATGATATTTATAACATCAAATATATCTTAATAAGTTATTTTTAAAGATTTTTAAATTTTTGAACAAATGCTGATTGATTGGTGTATCAAATAACTGTCGAGGGTACGTAGTGTACGGGCGAGAAGGATTAATTTCACGAAAAAATAGAAGTTTAGTACAATAATGTCCTCCCTACTCAGACCTGTATGCTGGTGGTGGCGCTTTGTAGTACATCGTATTATTACGATATTTTAATTCCCAGCATCTTAAAAATATGGTGTAAATCATGGCAGCCATAGGTACTTTATGTTTCTTCTTGCTTATTCTATTGGATTTGCTGGAAACAGGATGGATTTATGCTGAATAAAACATCAATGCGTTGTTTTATTGGAGATCAGTATCTGAGGTTTGGTAAAAATACTAGCTTTAAATAAATTTTAAGTGCACATATACAATGTGTCTCATACTAACCGTCTCAGGATCGGGAAAGCCAAAAGGGTTGGGCAAGTTTTGCATGCAGGCAGGCCCAAACGCCGTGGCATCTTTAACACCTTCCCAGTTCTCTGCAGGCTCTGGTAACCTAAACCTGAGATCTCCCACGGGAGGCTTGGCGAATGGTATACCTAAGAATACATCCACTCTTCGCCCTTGCACAGTTTCTGTCGCTCCCTGCAACGCTCCGTTGTCAATGTACACAATGATCTGGGATTTCACTCCCTCCAGATTTACAAGTACAAGATAGGCATAGAGGACAACCTTGACCCAAGACTCCATTCTACATATAAATCAAATAATACCGCTCAAATATATATGTATCTTTCAATGTAACGGCAGCCTAAATAGCAACGTATCACATTTATCTACGTAAATATTTTACTCAACGACGAGTGTGGTTTCACCTAGCTACGTGGTAACCGCATGCGTGGCTATGGTATGCATTTATTCATAACATAAATGCAACAGCCATATTGAATAGCAGAAATATTGCTTTTATCAACGTGAAGATACTCAACGACGAGTGTTGTTTCACCTAGTGATGTGGTAACTGCGTACGTGACTATGGTATACATGTATTCATAATACAGGGAATCAATGTGCAGTCTTTTATTTTATCTTAACCAGATACCATTACGGGATCAACGGTGTTGCTTTCATGTAGGATCCGCCATATTTGATCCGCAGATCCACTCTCACGTATCCACTAAAGATCTCAACCACCACAAGTATTGTGACTAGTGTACATCTGAACGCAACAGTTGCAATGAATACACCATAGTGCTTACATTGTAACTTAATTGATCGCGGAAAAAGTTCCTATTTTCGAAGACGAACAGAAAAAACTGCAGCGTTTAACATGAAATAGTTAGTTACTGCAATTCAAAAATATTGCACATCGTTAATGCGCCCATTCAAATATGTTGTTTGACCAATATTTCCTGCTGTACGTTTAATATTATACTCTGCATCTACAAATAATAATAATAATAATAATAATAACTGCACTCATCTATCACTCATCTGCACTCTTATTTGTTCCCCATAGCAAAATACGCATCCAACTTTTAAATGTAGTTTATAGACCCGTTTAGTTCCAACTTTGTCCATACCAGTAAAATATATGTAACCCCTTTGTTGAATAAAGCAAATTGTGATATTAATTAAATTAAATTTTATTGTTAGAGTGCAAAACGTGAAATTATATGCAGTATGTTTATATGTTCTTTAAAAACACGTAATTATAGACATGTTTGTTTATACATGTAAGTGTATAATAAAAATAACAATGTCATCATTCGTCTCTCGCTGTGAAATAGTTTTGTTATTGTCTTCAGTGACGAATGTGAGGTAACAAACTTTTCTTCATCGTTGAATTATTCCCATAGATAAGGTACATTCTGTGCATAATATTTTATGCTTTTGTTCATAAATTCTAAACTTAGTTTTTGCTGTTTGTGTGATATATTACTTTCATTTAGATAGTCTTGTTTTAGTTTCCTTCTTCGTTGCTACTTTTCCCATAATTACACGCGTTTCATTATTTTGGCCTGACTTCTGTAACACTGTGGTTTCTGTAGATTAGGTACTGTATTATTTTATTTAGTTTTCCTAAACATAACTACCTTTTCTAGGACTATGTGATTCCTTTATTCTATGATAATACTGTTCCACAAAACCACAGAAATTCTTGGTTATATATCGTAAAATCAAAAACTCCATTTAAACTCAAAATACCACCATGAAACTGAATAACTCCTTATCATAGCTCCATCATAAACAAATGCCTTTGAATAACTCAGTGCTGACAATTTAGGAATATATTTCGATCACCACCAAAGCTATGATAACCACTAAAGATATTATACTATTCAGCATATGCTAAATCTCGAAAGGATGTCGCCCAATGATTTCCCCACTGCTTTGAAACTCATGGGGAACGAGATATGATTCTCGGGATGCTTTTCATCCAAAACTTGACCCGTTTTGGAACAACTCTTTTCTTTCCCACTATGACGTCTCCAAACTCGAGGTAGTGCTTTTTATTCACAGTGTATTCCTCCCATATTGCTGGAACAGGCTCTGGCATGTTTGGATTTCTGGAACAAATAAGAACTAAAAATATGAACGGCTTAAAGATGATCGTGAGAGACTTTCTGCTGCCATGTAGTGCCATTAGTAAAGAATGACATCAGAGTAGTTAAAAGTTTATGATGTCCCTATTAGCTTATTCAGTCATATCACAACACCCAAAAGAAGGCAACAACATAACTTTGTTCTTCGGTTTAACTTACCCAGTCTTGGCAAAGTTTGACCAATATTGTATCAACATTTTAGATAAATTCTTCTCATCGTCCGTGAAAGTGGCACCAGAGACGAAAGGTTCGTGTGAACCAATCATAAAATGAAGGTCGTCTCCGTGATTTGCTCTCTGAAACCAAGATGGTGAACCCGACATAACATTTCCATACAGCGGCTTTCTCATGAAGTAGTAAAGATAAGTGCGTCCTCCTTCTTCAGAGAGATACGACGTCATGAATTTAAACATCGGTTGAGTGAAAGTAATGTCAGTAAGGAAATCGACATAATCGCGAGCGGCTTCGATACTGCTGGCGTTTTTGTCATAGTAGAATTCCTTAATTGCGTTGACAATTTTCGTGCTGTTTTCAAACACTAAATCTGTCCAAAAGGGGATCAATATGTCGCGGAAGTAAAGCGGATTAATTCCATATGGGTAGTTATTCAGAACATAGACTCCTCCGTCTCCATCAAGAAACCCAGTAACAAAGTCGAAAGAACGGAGGCGCTGCAAAACAACAGGATCACTTAACATCTCTGATATTGGTTTAGTAAGCAAGACACCATCGATTGAAGGTCTGTAAAAGAATCCAATGAGCCCTACAGTGGCCTGCTCACTGGCATTGACGAGTTCCTCAGCGTCTATGGTGCGAAGACAATTTACAAGGGCCGTTATGTTTGCTGTTGGACAGCCAACAATGTTCCCAGTTCTCACAGCAAGTTCTGGACCATTTTCTGACGTTGCCCAATAAGCGTTTGCAGCACCACTCTGGCTTATCAAGCGGTGAAAGAGTCCTGAGGAAGCATGTGTCAGGGCCAGCTGTGTCACACAACTGCCACCTGCAGATTCGCCAAAAATCGTCACCCTGCAAAACAGCAATGAGGATTTTAATAGTAAGATGAGGGAAACATTTTGCACGTCACCACACCGATGTGGTCTGAAAGAACATAGAAAAAGGTTCTAGAAAAAAACATTCTAGAAATTATATAATTGTACTTGGGACGACAACATTACCCAACAATACTGTTTCATACATACAACTAAAGTACCAAGTCTATTAAATGTACCATTATATATCTATAATTATCTGCATATTTTTATCTAATTTCCAATATCATGCAAATTATACAACAGTTTTAAATAAGAACGGGGGTAACTGATACGCAACAAGAGAGATAAAAGCTTCCATCATTAGTATATCTTATATACTGCAAATACCTTCCAGGGTCCCCGCCAAAGTACTGGATATTCTTCTTGATCCATTTCAGCGCCTCAATTTGGTCCCACAGTCCTATATTACCTGGTATGCTGTTGTCACCAGTGCTGAGAAACCCGAACACATTCAGGCGGTAGTTCATAGACACCACAATGACGTCACCTGTTACAGCTAAATAGGGATAAAAGGAAGAGATTAAAATGTGATCTTCCATATTGGTGGTTAGGCTTCAAACTTTTAAGTGATTATAGCTAACACCCAGTGATAGGAATTGACCAGCTTTTAATCGAAAATTGAAATTACAAGATAGATGTACAGCGTCACAAAATTAACAGACGATTAATACTTTTAGGAAACGTAACCAAGACGATTTTTTTTAATTTGTTGTTATCATTTGCTCTTCTTTTGTTTGAGCGCCATCTTCTTTCTTTCTTCACTCACGTGACTATATTCATATTAACCGCCTTAAGTCTCACGTGATCGTCTGTATAAATAGTTTAGCTCCAAATTCAGACTTCAGTACTGGACTTATTCATTGACGAGGTTATTTATGGTAAGTGAAGATTGATATTTTCGTTTCGTATCTCGAAACTCGTATAGGGCTTCAGTAAAGAATACAGAAACAAGAATAGCTGTATATATATCACGGTTAAGAACATATCGTAACTGTAAGAACATTTAAAAATCTCATGGGAAGGTTGCACTTTTGTATTTAAGTGTCTTCATCTTCAGTCCCATTTTACTCACCAAATTCTTTGAAACTGTATACGGATGTTCCACCTATGTTGTAACCCCCGCCATATATCCAGACCATTACCGCCCTATTGTTGGAAGTGTTTGTGGATCCAGGAACAAAAACGTTGAGAGTCAGGCAATCCTCTGAAACCTGCATAGTAAAGTGCTTTGTGAAAAATGCAATTATTAGCAGGCCTACCCAACTACTAGACTCTGCACAAATCGATCCTGAATTAACCGGTATATTGGACCACACTACCCGTTTTCAAGGTGTGTGTCAGATCGCATTTCGGAGTATCATACCCCAGAACAAATTATGTAGGACGACCGCGTCTTTTATCACTGTAGTCAGTTTTAAAATTTGATCAGAAAGAAATTTACATATATAACGAGCGTGGTTTCCTAGTATTGCATACCGCATATCATTCTTCGGGAAATATGAAACGATGCCCTTTGATATATTTTCTAAGCCATGCTATTTGAAACAATATGGTGGCGTTTGGTTGGGTCTTGTTGCAAAATTTTGAGTTGAAATGCATCTTAAACATTTTGTATATTTCTGTACTAGAGAATGAAGGAGTAGTCTTAAACTGAGAATGGCACTAATTGTTAGTTTACCAAATTTATTGACCACCGGCTCGTGTTTGGTAGCATGCAGATACATAAACTATATTTGATCGGTCGGATAATTGGAGTCCTTCTCCGTAACAGGCGAAATTCATTTCCTGTTCATGACAGATTCTGGTGCAATATATTTCAACATATCATTTCCCTCAATTAAACAACATTTGGTGGCAGCGACGGGATGACAGAGAAAGACAGTGAAGCTCAGTGCACAGTTGATAAGTATCTACTGAACATTATGATTTTGCTGTATCATTTATCTCCTCCATTTTTAGAAAGCACACTACCACAACTTACGCAGAGTCTGAGAGGGACGGACGGAGAGAAAGGCTTCACTTTTCCCGACAAAATGCACTATTAGTCGAAAAAGGTTGTCCCACCATGTGCTTTTATTTACAAACAATCGCCTCACAAGTTTACATTGTTATAAACAATGTTTTTCATTCCAGATACCATATGTTACATGATAAACGGTGCACAAAATACAAAAAAGCGGTGACAATATCCATTTATTCAAATTTGGAGGTAGGACAACCTTTTTGACCAATGCATAGTGTAGCGAATTCAGGTCATCAAAAGGGTCATGTCAAGTATCATGTTTCACATTACAATTAGCATTTTCTAGGTTTCGCAGTGATTTTGTGTAATATTTCCCCAATAAGCATATTTCTTTGTTTAGTTGCAGCCTCAAGAGGTAATCAATTATAATGTGATGGTTCATGACAAACATATTTTCCTGTGATCAAATTACTTTAAAAAAAAGGTAAAAGAACTAGTGAAGTACATATAATATGTATTACCGTCTCAGGACCGGGAAAACCGTTAGGATTCGATGCAACTTGCATGCAGGCAGGCCCAAACGCCGTGGCATCTATAACACCTTCCCAGTTCTCTGCAGGCTCTGGTAACCTAAACCTGAGATCTCCCACTGGAGGCTTGGCGAATGGTATACCTAAGAATACATCCACTCTGTTCCCTTGTACAGTTTCTGTCGCTCCCTGTAACGCTCCGTTGTCAATGTACACAGTGGTCTGGCATTTTACTCTATCCAGAATTAACACCGTCAGAGAGGCAGAAATTACAGCCCAAACCCAATACTTCATACTGCGTTGAAACCCAAGTCTGATCAAATTCCAGTCTGATCAATTCAGGTTCCAGTGGCCTTCTCTGTCTCACTTGGTGCTGTCTGGGGCAATGAACTCCTCCCGCAGAAGATGTCACATTTTTTAAAAGTTGTTTCCGTCAGCCCGCATATTCTGCCAGAGCTGTAGCTGAACTAGTTATCTAAAGTACATTGCTCTATGTTGCCAGCCATCATATTGGCATGTGCTTTTTACCTCACACTTTTTGTCATTGATGAAATACTTCCATACATCCTTAGCCCTGTATTTGTCACAGTATATTGGATAATCATTTTTAAATTAAAATTCCTATAAAATCAAAGCAGATTCATTAACGGTCCTCTACATGCTTCTGACCTATTGTTTCTGGCTTTTTGTTTCACATCGGTCATTTTCGTTGTTTGCACAATACAATGCCCACCTCTGTATTTCGATTGAATGTCAGCCCATCTGCCAAAATGATTATTTGTTAGTTTTATTGAGTTGGGAGCATCTATGAACATGAGTGTACACATAATGGCGAACATGCCGCTTATATCACTAAATTTTATCTCCACAGTCGATGCACTTGAACGAAGATCATATATAGCTCTCTCAACTACTACTACTGCCCCAACGTATCATTTAATACGTGACATTCATGTTGAATCTGTCTCTCGTGTGAGACCTGACGTATTCCGAACAACAAACAACAAACACCTTTTACATGAAAAAGTGTCAGACAAGGGCAGCATTGTGTTCCAAATTTCACAAATACAACATAAGACAGCTATCTTCTTACAGGAGCAAGTCATCATTCTTAAAAGATCACATGCAATATCATAGAAGAGCACTTAACCAGTAGCGGATTCCCGTTTCTGAAAAATATATCACACCAATATATCCCTCTTGAAATTAGAAATTGAGCAAGCTGAACCCTGGCTCTAAACCGTACCAAAGGGCACCGCTTAATTTGCCCTCCAAATCACCCAAAAAATTAGAGTCCCTTGAGCAGGCCCCCAATCCCACGCCAAGAGGGTGATGGTCGGCTTCGCATCCGAGGCCTGTCGTTCCTGAC